CCCATATAAAGGAGAGTGGATTTTCTAGTTATTAGACTGCAAATATTCCTCAAAACAGAAGATGCCGTTTATGAAATTTTACATTTAAAGCTGCAGGGCACACATATGGACAGAGATTTTGGTAAAGAAAAAATCTACAGGAGAAGGTCTCACGTCCACACACAGGAGAGTTAAGTACCGTTACTGCTTAAGCACTTTCTTCAGTCTTTATGAATGCAGACTGGGAACTGAACCCCAAATTCATCTAGCCAAAGTCTCTCTCTGTCTGTGATCACTTACTCCCACACATTTCAGGCTGGCTGAATGCAAGAATCCAACTATTTTCAGGGTGGGTGGTAACCTGCTTTAAAAAAAAAAATAAATGCATTTTTATCATATACTTGGAAAATCGATGTTTTCCGTGAGATGATAATTTTGAAACAATCTTGTTCTGCTTTATGAGCCTGACTGTACAAAGAAGTAAAGAGGAATTGAGAACAGGCCGATTACAGTAGGAAATTATTTATTGCCAGCTGATTTTTAACCAATAATGAGCGCATCACTACTGTTAGATTTCATAAGAAAAAAAAAAAACACAAACTGTTGCAGCATACCAATGATATGCAGGCTACCAAGGATGCTCCATACTAAAATAGGAAAGTTGAAGTGTTAATTTCACTGATGAAATGCACCTGAGACATCTTCTTTCCTCACCTAGATTTTTTATTCCAAAACACACATGTATTTTTCCTCTATTTAAGCTGTCAGTACCCCACAGCATATACCCATTTTTATTTTGACATACTTAAGGTTAAATAGAGCCAGATGTATACCACTATACTTCATGACGTTAGTTTGCAATGGATTATATAGGTTGAAACAACTTTGGCGACGTTTTGCAGGGCTACCAACTGAGTGACTACACTTAAAATGTTTCTCCTGTGATCCCATTTTTTACCCTTTAAGTAAAAAAGGGACAACTGGATTGTCCTGAGAACACAAACCGAACACAGGAGAGCTGTGAACTGCCTCACCCCTGAAGACCATCACCGACACCATCACCGCTTCTGTTAGGAATAACGAGCACCAACCAGGAGCAGAAAGTTTTTCATGGCTTGCTTCACCACCAGCAGGACCTGGGCTGTCCCAAACCCCAACTTTTCCTACGTGTGGCTGCTGCGCTCCCCTTCTGGGCCACGAACACCATCACCGATAGAAATCTGCAAAGTCACTTCCAAGTAAAAACTAGTTGATTCTCGGGAAAACAGCAGCGAGGTGAGCAGTTAAGGGGCATCCTCCAGCAACGTGCGTTCGGCCAGGAGCTGAATTTTCAACGATACGTGGGAAAAACCCCGGAATCCCCTCAATTCAGGAGGATTTTTCCCTCCTGGTGCCTGCCCTGAGCACCCACACACCCCAGGCACAAACTCCCCTTTCCCTTTTCATGCCCTACACAGCGGGCTCCTTCCCCCAAACCCCGCTGCAGCAGGAATCCCGTTTCCCTAGGGATTCACCCCAAAGAGCAGTGCTAGATTTTGAAAAAGGATAAAACATTTTAAAAGGAAATAAACCAACCGCCCCCCCCCAAACCTCCCACCCCACGGCCATTGTGCCTCGAGGCTTCCCCCCCCCCCCCAGAAGCACACACCGAGGCCCCACAAAGCCGGGCCGCGGGCCGGCCGTGCCCATGGCCCCGGGGCTCCCCTCCCTTCCCTTCCCCTCCCCTGTTGGCCCTTCCCCTCCCTTCCCTTCCCCTCCCCCGCCGCCGGGTTCCGGGAAGCCTCCGGTGCCTCCCGCACCTCCGGGAGGCGGCGGCGCTGCGGAACGGCCCCGGCACGGCTGGGGGGGGGGGGGGGCGAGGAAGGGAAGGGGGCAACGAGGGAAAGGAGACCCCCGAGGGGGTGAGGGGAGGGGGTGAGGGGAGGGGGTCGTGGCCCCTCGCTACAACCCCATTGCCCCCTCCCCCGGCCTCATGGGGAGGCGAGAGGGGGGCTCGGGAGCTCCATGGTCCCCCCCCCAAGCCCCCTAAGGGAGGAAGGGGAGGGTGTAGGGTTAATGGGGAGGTGGAGGGGTGGGGGTGAGCCGCCCCCCCCCCGGGTACCTTTCGCTTCCTGGTCTCGGCCGAGCCGCTCCAGACGAAGCACTGGTAGATGGCCCGCAGGTTCTGCTTCCAGTTCTCCACCTTGAAGCCGGTCACATGGCAGCACCCGGCCGCCGGCGGACTCATGTCAGACCCCCCCACATCAATCCGCCCGACGAACGGGCCGGGCCGGGCCGGGCCGGGCCGGGGGGCAGCGAGCCGGCCCCTTCACCCTCCTCCTCCTTCCTCCTCCTTCCTCCTCCTCCTCCTCCGCAGCGCCGGGCACGCGTGTAGCCCCCCCCCCACCCCCCCTCTTTCCCCCCTCCTTCTTCCCCCGCCCTCCTCAGGGGCTCGGGCCCCTCCCGCCGCCTCCCGCCGCCCGCCGCCCCCACATAGAGCCCCGGCCCCCGAACAAAAGCGAGGCGGCGGCGGCGCTGCCTCAGCCTCACACCACACACACAAAGATGGGGGCTCCCCTCAGGCGGCCCTCTACCTCATAGAGGCCGCCGGGAGGGGAATAAGAAGTAAAAAAAAATAATAAAATAAAAAAAAAGGGGGGGGGGGGGGGGGGGGGAAGCGAGGCCCCGCCCGCCGCCGCCGCCGCTCCCCTGCAGCCGCCCTCCCGCCCGCACGGGGCCTGTCTCTTTAAATCGCCGCCCCCCCCCCTCCCTCCCCGCTTTGCTTCCTTCCTTCCTTCTTTCCTTTCCTGCCCACCCCCCTCCGCCCGCCGGGTGCGCTGGTCCGAGCCGCTAAGTCAACCCAGCCCGCCAGGCCCGCGGTGGGACAGACCAACGGGGAAATGGGGGAGTGATCGGCCCCGCCGCACGGGAGGGAGGTGGAGGGGGGAGGAGCGGTGCTATTGGTCCGCCCGCCTGTCACTCAGCCGCTGAGGCTCGTCTCATTGGCTCGTTACCGTCTCCCCCCTCCTCCCTACCTAGCGTTTCCCCCTGCCGGATAGAGGCGGGGAGAGCTCGTCTGACTGACAGGTCTCACAGCCAACGGAAAGAAGAGGCAGCACCTCCGTTTAGAACGCTGCACTCGGATTGGTTATATCACCCGTCAATCGCACAGCGAGCTGCGAGCCGATTGGCGGAGAAGAGCGGCGGGGGCGGTGCCTCCCAACAGCGGCAGCGGCAGCCTGCGCTGTGGGGGAAGCGGCGCTGTCACATCCGCCGGGCTCGGCCTCGGGGCTGCCTGAGGGGAGCGGGGCCGCGGGGCGGGCAGTGCTCGGCTCCCCCCCGGGGTACCCGGCCCCAACCGGCGGTGAGGTGCCGGGCACGGCCCCGCATCGCCCTCAGGCCCGCCCGTGCCCCCCCTTCCCTGCTGTGGTGGAAGAAATAAAAGCTCTGTGTAACCAAAAAGGGTGTCATGTCATTTTTTCCTGTCAGTGACTGCACGGGGAAAGGGGAAAATGGTGAAAAATGGTTGAGTTTGGGGTCTGTAGGGAATCTGTGCAGAGTTCCAAGTGTGGGGGCTCCACGGGCTGCGGTTAGGTGGTGGGGGAGTGAGGCAAAAGGGTGGGAAATGAGGCAAAAGGGTGGGAATTGAGGCAAAAGGATGGGGAATGAGGCAAAAGGGTGGGAATTGAGGCAAAAAAAGGGGAGTTTTCCCCTGATTTGTGAGGAGACGCAGGAGGCTGTGCTGTGGGGGATACTAGGCTCTCACAAGCCCTGGGAGGGCTGTGTGGTAAGGAAGGGGATGTTTAAGTGCCACCACGTTATTTTATCAATCCTTTTTTCACTTACATCCCTCCTCAGGAGCTATCACCTTGAAGGCCACCAGGCAGATGGGAGTAAAGGCCTGTCCGGTCTCCTGGCCTGTTGCTGAACTTCCAGAAATCAATAGACAGCTACAGCTATCTGTTTGCCTTAGAGGTGCTGCCGTTTCTACAAGAAAGCAAAGTATCTGCTAGCATGAAACATGTTCATGATTTGTGCGTAACTATAAGGTTTAGTGGCAAAGGAACTAGGGGATGTAGGGCTAAGGCAAGACCTGGGTTTATTCCCTCTGATGGTGAAGTGGCAGCACCAGGCCATGCCACCCCGCAGCACAGCTCTGTGCTATTTAATCACCTCCTGTAACGTACCTGCCTCGTACAGCTCCTCAGCCTCGCTCTGAAATCCCTCTTCCATGCAGTTTGGGGATTACAGCTCCACACTGTACCGAGGATTGCCCCAGAGGGGAAAAACGGGGTGCCAAGAGACCTTTGTGTTCAGCAGGAAAGGGCCTGCTTATCCCGCTTTGTACACACACTGGTAGAGGTTGCTAATTGCACTCAGTGTTTCAGAAGATTACCTGTGAAATCTGGAGTTAGGCTACATCCTCTCTTTGACCCTAGATAATCATTACACCTATTAAGCCATCACAGCACGTGTGCAACCTGTACCTCTTCTGGAAAAGGTAACAAGAACAGGAGCTGCATACAGCTCCCATGTACTAACCTCGCACCCTCAGAGACATTTCCCTGTGACTGCAGCATCCTCTGACACACCCTGCTCATCCTAACACGTGAGAGAGATTACTGAGCCATAACAGGACTCCTAAGGAGTTAAAGGAGTTATTTTTGAATTTGGCTTCTTGTGGAGCTAGGGGCATCTCACCTTCCATGTGGCCCATTTCATTCATTATTCTCCAACCTGAGTCAAATTCCAAGGGTTCCAAGGGTCTGGGTGCTCTCATGTCTGTAGCAGGGCAAGAATATGAACACATTGACCATCACAACTAGCCACTGTTTCAAAAGCTACAGGCACAGAGACCCACCCCATACGCTGTGAAAGCCACTTAACCATCCCTCAGAACAGAGGGAATTTAAAGATAACCAGCAAGTTGTATAGGAATGAACGGGATAGGTTATTAATGTCCTAATAGCATCTAGTAGTTATTCTAATGTATCTTAGTATCTTCCAGTTAAACACAAACCCCAATATTACTACAGACGAAATCCAAGCAGAGAGTTATTCTTATTCTGCAACAACCTACTGTTACTAATCTTGAGCTTTTCTCCATGGCTACCACATCAAAACTGGAGATAAAGATAAAAGGGAGAATTTCTGTCTATGAAATTTAAGTCCATCTCTCTGAAGAAACAGGATACCAAAAAGACAATGCATATGTTCAGTGCCCCGCAGATTCTGAAATTTTCACGGAGATTTCTGTGCCGCTCTTTCTTTCTTGCAGAGTCATCGTGTTTACCCAATGTAAGGTGCAGTGGCATTTGTCTTATTCAGAAATAACAAGGATTGTGCGTTTATAAAACACGGTTGTTTCCTTTTTAGCAAGGAGAACCTGTATTTGTTCTTCTCTCAATTTTTCCTTTAGAAAAATATTAATTTTTCTGTCTGCCCGGCTCAGGAACAATTACAACATTTAACCATTCCTGCTTCCCAAAGTTTCCTGGCACATTACTTGGAGAGCTGCTGAGGATTTGGGGAGCATTCTCTGAGAAATAACGAATTCACAGGTGTAACACCCATTCTTAAGCTGCTGTCAATGGGAGCTGAGGCCTCTGTCACATCCCAAAGGCACAAATGTGGAAATTTAAAGATTGGCCCTTAGGGGACACCTCCATGGGTACAGCTGTTACTTTTCAAACTTAAAGGCTCACCAAGGTTTTTCTGGCATCTCACTCTCCGGAAAGAGAAGGCTTTTTGAACCAGAAGTCTTGATTGAGGTTCACTTTGGATTTTTACTTTGGTCCCCAAATGATTCACTGACATTCTAAAATAGAGCAGAAAAGAATGGCTCTCAAAAATTTTTGAGGCCAACTCCTGACTTGAGGAGTTTGAACCAAGCTGTGGAAGGCTCAGTGTCATTAAGCCCTTTGTTTTCCATCCTGTGAAGACACCAGAATCTTTCCTATGAAGAAAAAACCCTTCAGACACTACAAAAACTTCTTGACTGTGCCAGCCCACACAGTAAAGGTGGCATAGCAGCACGGAACATTAGTCAAAACAAAGCAGGAGCAGAAAATAGTGACACCATTTTGTCACGTAGTAATTGTTAAAACAAGGCCTGCTTGCTACACACACGCACATGAGCGTTTGTAAGTTTGCTATAGTTTAATTTACTCTTGGGCACAGCTTAGGAATGTTTCTAGAACAAAGCCTTTTGGTGCAGCAGATAGCTTGGGAAAGGATTTGCCTCTGGGGGCTGGAAACTGTTTCAATCTCTCCTGTGTCTCTTGGAGGAATTTTTAATTTTAAAGCATTGATGATTATGCCAATTAGTTCTTACCCCCAAATGACAATGGAATATAAATGTTGACTGTAGCTAAAACATACTGCAAATGTGCTGCAAACCTTCCCTCCAGAGAGTCATCTGTATTACATGATAGCTCAGCTGGGAAGACGCAGAGTTCCTCCACATGGAAAAGCACAGCAAGTGTATCCTCAATCCACGTCATCCCAAGGTGGCACTTCTCGACTTTGCTGGATAGTCAACAATCAGTTGTTACTTTATCACTTGGACATGCTTCTCCGCATAACATGTACTAAAAATGTCCAGTTTAGTTCTCAGGTAAACACGAATGTTTTCCTTAAATCTGATTTATGAGCAATACCAAAGGATTTAGCCAGGATTCCTCACAAAAACTTGAATTGCAAGTGAAGCTTTATCAGGATTTAACCTGTAAGACTGAAGATCGCGGCTCCAAAAACAGATTTCAAGGGGGCCATGCAGGAGCCCGCACTGCTTGCTGGTTTGAAACTCAGGGACTGAATAGCTTGAAAAGTTCTCAATTCTGTATATGCTTGGCAGTATAGAGAAAGGTACTCAGGAATAGGTTGCCATGAAGTAGCACTCCTTAAGTGTCATCCTGCTTCTGGTAGAGCAATCAGAGGAGACTCCTCCACAGGTACTCCTCAACAGGAAAAGGAGAGGAACACTTCTTGGGTATTCTCTGGAAGATGCAGGACTTTGGCATTCACCCTGAGGTCTTTTTGCTTCCCCTGGGCCCAGGTCTCCAAATGAGAACCCCATTTTGACTTCTGGTAAGAGACGCAAAAAAGTTAGTCTATGTGTGCATATGGCTAAAATACTACATCCAGTTATGGCATCTTGTTCTCGTCACAAAGAGTCCATTTGCTCCTACAAGCACAAGGACCATCCATGCTAATAACCAACACAAAATACATGAAGGTTCCTCAGTGTCTCTCCTGCATTTTTCCAGGCACTGTAAAAAAAGACAAATTCTCTCACAGTCTACCAGGAAAGAACTTGCAGAACAGCACAGAGAAAAAAATGTGAAGCCCTAAACTGAACACTTTTAACACTTTAAAAGGACTCTTTTTAAATCTTTAGTGATCTTTTTCCTAGTTCAAGCCTCTTTTCATCAAAGCATTATGAACTTCCATTACTTAAAAGCCCATCAGGTTGTGTGTCTGACCACAGGGCTGAAACCTCTGTTGCATGATTTTGCCAGAAGGTGATTGCCTTTAGTTCCTAATAAAGTTCACCTGAGATACTTCAAGCACCTTTCAGCCTGCAGGAAGCATGCTGTGTGTGTACCTGCTCACTTATTTCATGGACAAAGTACTGACCTTGCTGCAAAACTGGTCCTATAGCCCCAGCTACACCATCTTCTCTAAAACAAAGATTTTGTTTTCAGTCCAGTCCACTGGTAAGAGCATCCGACAGATGCCAGATTAGAGGTTTCCACCTGCCTCAGTCCTTGCAGAGGGGTCAGAGCAGCTGCTTGAATCCACAACATTCAGTGACAGAGTTCAGCTGCACAGATCCTGCCAGAAGGATGCTTGTCAGAGCACAAAGGACAGGTGGATTTCTGTGGATTAAGCTGCCTTCAAATTTTGTCATCGACTCCTGCAGTTTGCCACTGGCATCACGGCCCTCTGCATAGCTAATTTAAACCTACTGACAATACACTTGCTTGTCTTTGTGATCTTTTGCAGACCTCTTCAAAGCAGTGCGCGGAATTCCAAGGATTCATAGCCCACAGGTTAAAAAGAGTCCTAGAAAAAAACAGAAGGCCTGTACTTATTTTTCGGAGGATCACTGTCGTAAGATGAAATCTTGGCCCCAGTTGAACTCAGTGGGCATTTTGCCACTGACTTAAATGGAGCTAAAATGTCACCCCTGCTATTTGTCAAGTCAATTACATCCAGACAATACTGTAACATCTGGCTTCAACCGAACCCACAGAAAAGTTCACTTCCTTGGTCTCTGAAGACAACACACAGGACATTGGCTATCTCATTAAAAACGAGAAATTTGTTCTTGGCGAGCCGCTTGTAAGAAAACAGCGGATCCATCCAGTGACACTATCGGAACGAAGTCCCTGCTCTTTAGCACACGGCCATTGGCGATTGCATCAATGGATTCTCTGTCATTTTCTGGGAAGAATGTCAAAAGCACCCATCTACTGTTAAAATTCATTGTGCTGTGAAAACTTTGTTTATAACAACAGATCGGTCCTCGTCTGTGGTTTCCCACAGACATGGGGGGTTTTCACCCAGCTCATCTCCTGGTTTCCGAGCCGCTGGAAGGTCCCTTGCTGGGTTCGATAGCAGTCACTCAGCCTCAGCCCCTCTCTGAGCGAGGTGATTGTAGGTAAGCCTGAAGGGTAACTGGCTACAGGAGGCCAACTGATGTGAGCTATTTCCTTCTCTAAAATCTCAGCCATGACAAGGCGTTATTTTACCGCAAAATATTCAGGTTAGGTCAAACACAAGCAGGGCCCATCATTTAATGGTAGAAAAAATAAATAAATGTATAGAGTTATTTGATCAAAGGAGACTTAAAAAGTCTATTTGAATGGGAAGAATCATCACACGATGTCTGGGGGAAAGAAGACATAAAGAGAGACTTTTACGTTTGAGGAAAGGGATCCACTCACTGCTGCTCCCTGCCCCAGGTACTGGTGAGTTACCGCCGCACACCTGTGTAAAAGCAGCTTCCTTCCATCTTGTTCCATCCCCTGGGAAACAAAAGCAAAGTCAGTCTCCAGTATCTGATGAGCCTTAATTCCCAGCACTTAAATAATTAGCTTCTCAAATGTACGAAAACAACTCTCATTTTCTGGATTAATGAAGGAAGCTGGGTTCCACTGAGCAAAGCTATTATGGAGCTGCTAATGCACGGTTTGATTTCATCGCCTGCCACTAAGCACAGAGCAACGTGGGCTCCTGGGAGAGCAACAACACGAGGAGAGCAATGCTGGAGGGTTAAAGAAGAAGGCAGCAGGGGAAACCCTGGCAGTGCAGGCCTTTGTGGTTTTATGCAGGAGGAGGGCTGGCTTTGTCTGTGTGTCCGCCGAGCTTTATCTAGGTTTCTGAAGATGCCGTATCACCCAAAAGAAGACCAAAGCTCAAGGACATCATAAGGGGTGGACGGTTTGTTTTAACCACAGACCAGTCAAAGGCGGTTTCTGAAGCAGGGTGACAAAACACATGAAGAAGCCTACATGTACACCTTAGGTAGCCATTTGGCAGCTGCTGCCCCAGTTCAGTAGCTCCAGCAGCAAAGAACGGCAAAAAACTTCAGTGCAGCTTCAGCTGGAAGGCTACGGGGATACTAGAACACGCTTATCCCCCCTGCTCATTTGGCCGATGAGTTTAGGGAAGCTGATTGCAAAGAGTCATTATTTTTCTTGTCTCACCTTGGCAGGTACAGACACAGAAACCTTTCCAAACGAAATCCTGTTCCTTTTATACCTTGGCACAGAATTGGTGATTTACTTTTCTGTAACTGGATGGAGAAGGGACTGAAAAAAATGTCAGAAAGGGCTGCTCTGCTCTGTTCTGGCAGATTTAAACCTTAGGCCATATTACACAAACAACTCGGTGCTATTAGGACTGTTCCTTTCCCCCCTCTGCATAACAATTTTGCTGCCTGGCCTCAGACTGTACAACCTGTTTCACACAGAACCAAAAGTCCACGCTGACCCCCTCTATGTGGTACATGGAATGAGGAACAGAGAATGACAAGGAAATCAGGGCTTCTGAGGTGTAACTCCAGCTACTCAACAAGTGCAAAGTCATGCAACTCCTCACACACCAGGAGATGGATGGAGAGGCCTGGAGTGATGATTTCTTTAGAGCCTTCACCACCAAAAATCCCTTCGGGTTGTGTCACTCCTCCCTACCCATTAGTACATACAGATCAGTGGAACAGAGGACCTGCAGTTCTACACGTGGATTTGGGATGAAATGGCTTCTTACGGTGAAGTTCTTCTAACTGCAGTAGTGTGAACAAGCCCTGCAACATCTAACTTCTGTCACACCTTTCCAAATGAAATGAAACAAACCCAAACTTTTGACCTCTGTAAGAAAAACCTGAAATTGCAACAGAAGCCTTGTGTTAATAAAGAAATTTTGGTGCAGATATGAAGAAGGAGCTGAGAGCTTAACGAGGAAAATCAATGAAACCGTGATGATTTATGCAGCAAAATTTGTGCTTGACTGAACTTTGCCTGACTCAGAGATAGGCACCAAGGACACGAGACCTGCAGACAGATGCTGAAGAACCTCAGCACCTGCCCAAAACCAGAGCAGTTTCCTATAGATGGCCTTTCAAACTTCAGCCTCAGAGATGCTGCTTCTTCTGTCAAGGCTTGTTGGACCACTGACTTCTGAGGAGTTACAACCCATGTAATTTAGCTGAAGCAATCAGGAAATAATTATGTACAGTGGAGAATTAAAAGATGGTAATTAAACTGTACAAATAAATAACTGTAGTGACTAAAAAAGTCCACCCAAAGCCTACTTTTGGAGCAGTATTTAATGTAAATGAATCACTTAGTGGACAATACAACAATCATCTGTTCAGCTTCTATTCATTATCAAAAACAATACAAAAGGATTGGCAGGGAATAGCCATGTGCCAGAGGGAGCCCTTTAGGAAATACCACAGAATCTGGACTGGCTTTTGTCTGTTCTTCTATTGTTTTCTGACAATGCTTTGCTAATGAATGTCCAACGTCATTTTGGTTGTCTTTTCTTTCCTTTTTTTTTTTTTTTCCCCAAAACAAATCAGTAGTAGTGCTGGCCTTTCAGAATGAACTGAAGTGCTTGTTCATGTTAGGAAGAGTTCCACACGTTAGGTATGAGTTTTGCCAAGGCCTACGAGGCTGAGGATGTGTGGTCTCAGACAGTCTGGAAAATCCCACAGTAAGTGATCAGACAAAATCCTTTGATTTGGGCAAAAATCCACTAAGTTTTAATGAAAGTATCACCTAACTTTGAAACTCCAAATGCTTACTGAACTCAGTATTTGAGTTGTATACTCAGAAAATTCATCTTTTGTTACTCAATTTGAAGTGATGCTAACTTCATTCTGAGAAATAAGCTCCATTTGTACTGATCGTGCCCAACATTATCCTGGGAGTTATCTGCCAGAAACTGTAAGCTAAAGAGAATCCCCACTAGGGATCTGGGGAGGCAAACCTATCCTAGAAAAAGGAGGGTAAAAAAGACAGTACCAAGCCCTAAAACACTGTCATTATGTTTCAGAACTGATTCCCATCTCGTTACTGGTTGGCAGTAACTGAAATGTCTGATGTGATGGTGTCCCGGGTACCTGTAGGGGCACCTTTTTCTTACCTGGCTCCTTGGCTCACTCCTGTGTCCCTGCTGCAACTTACAGCCCCCGCAGTGCTGCTGGTTCAATTCTCTGCAGACCTGCAGCGTAAAACAAATCACTGAAATGGTCTGTGTTAGGAGAAAAAGGCAACAATGATGAAGAAAAGAGGTAAGAGTGGGGCAGATAAGCAGGCTTTACTGCACATGGAATGCCACCCAGATTTAACTTCCCAAGGTTGTCTCTGGGGCCATGATGTACGGGATTTGTTCTATTTTGTCTTAAACAAAATCTTAGGGTCTGCGGCAAACTTCTGCATCCAGAGTTTATTTTGTGTCAAACCTAGTGACGACAGAGTATGTGGGTTTCTAATTAATGCTATCTAAAATTTGATATATAAATGCACACTTCATAAAACCATGTTAACAGCTCAGTCGTCCAAATAAAATAGTGAGAGATGGCATCGAGCCCCTTAGGGTTTACTCTTGCAAAACCCTCACCAAGCTAGCTGCATAGTTTGGCTTAAAACTGGGAAGTTTTACTCACAGCACGTTTCCAGAATCCCACCGAAGACGGGACTCGGGCAGATTGCTGCCAGCCCATCCTGGGACTGTTCACGGTATCAACATTTCCAGCTTCCACCTGCCCTTCAGCGCACGACCATCAAAGCAGAGGCTGCAGAATGGGCGGCATGTCTTCTCTGAGGTGTGACTGAGGTTAAAGCTGTGAGTGGTGCCACACAGCCCAGCCTGTCACCTCTGGTACTGGACACAAACCTTCTTGCAGCGGGCTGGGGCAGCCACAGGAACACAGAATGCTGCCCTGTGATTAAAAAAATTATTTTTTTATTTTTACCACTGGACAGGGGTTGGGAAGGGAGGAACAACTCCTCAGCTTCTGATAAACAATAGTTCATTTCACAAGACTGTTGCTACCACTTCTACTAATTAACATTTTTTGCAGTAATTTCTGTTCAAAGACAAGAGATCTCAAGGATCTTTTTGGAAGGAAACAGACCACTTATATTACAATGCAGTAGATTAAAGGCATCACCCAAATAGTGGGATAAACTGAGAGGAAACCAGATTAATTAATCCCCTTTGATTAATAAACTTCCCCTAAAATATAATAATAAAATAATAATAATAAAAAAGAACACTAAAATTCTGTTCCTCCCTCCTCTGGTAAAGATTTTTTTGTTGTTAGTCCCTCGAGTGGTTGCTTGAGTCAGGTCTCACTGTAATTACACACCTCACAGCAGTGCAGGGAGACTTAATTAAGAGAGTCACTGTAGGTGCGTTGTCAGACAGATCCGACCTAGTCCTGTCGGAGAAGGCGCTGGGATCCAGCTGCAGCGGGCATGTTAAGTAAGACAATTGAAGTTTGCAGCGGGTTTCGAGATCCTCCTGCAGAAAGCAGCACGGACACACCCAGCAGCCTTTATTCCAAGCCCCTCGACTCCATCGTCGGGGAGCCTGTGGTTTTCCGAATCTCTCTGTACTCACCAGGAGACGCTCTGCCACACCACAAGATTTCATATTCCCTCCCTCCCTCCCCCCCCTCCCGGCTTCAAAAAGTGTGACTCACCAGTTTCAAACGGTGACATTTCATTCCCAAACTATTCCGGGAGCAGCTGGCTCTGTAACACATGGGGATGTGGGGAACGGGGAGGAGGGAGGGAAGAGCCAGATTGCAGAGTGAAAACCACTCATTCTCTCTCCCCCACACAGGTATGTTGCTTCTAAATTTCAGAGCCACACAATTCGGGACCCGCTGGCAAATTCCATCGGAAGAAAACAATAAAACAAGCGCATTTTGGAGAAAAATAAATATCTGTACAAGGCAGTGATGCAATTCCCTCCCAGCCAGGATGGAGTGGGAGAGTGGCTTGCTCTCCGGATCTCACAGATGTGAGGAAATGCACTGTCCCCACTTCTTACTCTTCTTACGAGCTTGAACCCTGCAGTTCTGGGTTGCTCCTTCAAACACTGTGCTGCAGACCCGGGGTTTAGTCATCAGCAATCTCCTCCTAACCGTGAACAAATGGACGTGCAGCGGGGAGACGACAACAGGGGGATGACAAAGAAATCACTGTCAGCTCCCGGTCCCGAGAGGAGTTTTGTGTCACCCTGCAAATCTGCATGGCTCGTGTCCCTGCTGTGGGGACGTCACTGCCGTGAACACAACATCCAGCACGTGAGCACGGGGCTGCCGTGGGCGCGTTGGCACCCACACGAAATTGCCCCCAGCGGTGCAGCGCCAGAGGCAGGAGCATGATCTCTGCTGGCCTCGGTCTATAAACCCGTGCACGGCTGGCTGGCGTCACGGCAGAGCTCCAGCCCCATTCATTAACGTTTGTAAAATTCCCCGGGGAGGGAGCTGGACGTGATGCAAGCCCGCAGCCTCCCTGATGCAGCCTCGCAGCCTCCCCGTGGGCGCAGCCGGGTGCAAGTCAGCCCAAAGGCAGCCTGCAGGCAGCGGTGGGAGCATCGCTGCCTCAACAAATGTTGCTGCTGTGGGTGAGGAGCTCGAGGTGGGCTCGGAAAGGGCCAGCACAGGATGAATTTGGCGTGCTGAGGGCAGGCGAGGAGCTGATTTGCCCCGCACGGTCACGGATGGTGGCAGCACACCACCACGCACCCTGCCGTGCCTCGTGCTGTACGAGCGAATAACGCAGCCCTGTGCATGTCTGCGCAGGAAGCGTTTGGTTACGATTTCATTCACCTTCTCTGCTGCCTGTACAAAAGGGAGGGCTGTTCTTGGGGCTCTCCCTACCCAGCAGCGGCGTGGGACCTTGCGCTGGCTGCTTCTGTCCTTCTCACTCCCATTCTTCACTTGGGGAAGCCTCGCTGAGAGCAGTGCCTGTGGAAAGAAGAGGAGGCTGGCTCGCTGCGTGATACGGGCATGCAGCAGCAGTGACCTTGGCTAGGTAACCATCTCCTGAATACAAAGATGGATAAAAGGCAGCAATTTCTTTAAAAAAAATAATAAAACCTTCCGCTAAGGTAGGGAAGGGCAGCGGTTTGCTAAATAAACTCGTCTGTCAGAGCTGGATTTTTTTTTTTTTCCCAGCTTCCCTAAATGCCCTTCACCAGCAGAGAGGGGGAGGGGACCTGCTCTTTGAAGCCTTTTCCTTATGGGAATAGAAAACACGGAAAGAATTCAGTCCTCCGCCACAGCCCAGCGGCACCGATGCTCGCTTGGAAGGGCAAAGCCCAGGAGCTGAGCTCGCTGCTGGGCGCGGGTGGCCGGAGCTGTGCTGCCAGGTTGGCCTTGCTCAACGCCCAGCATCAGCAAGGGTCCCCCACAGCGTTAAGGCACAGAAAGAGGAGAAGGAATGGAGACCGGGGAAGAAAAATGAGGAAATTCAGTGCAGAAAAAGAGCTGCAGTTACTCAAATCTTTGACCAAAAGCACCACCTAGTGAGGAAAGGCAAGGCTGCAGCTGGCGTTGCTCTGCATCCACCACCAATAAATGCCATTTGACTTTCACCCCAGGTTTTTGCCTGTTAAAAAACACAAGCAGCACCACGCAAAGTGCTGTACCCGAGTGAACACCAGCACGTGCCCAAATTACCGTGCTCTGGGTAAGTATTTGTCCAGTGGGAACGTGCTGTCTTCCTCCCAGCAGTGAATCTCGGCCACCCTAAAGGCAGCAGGGGCTGAGGCACCACAGGAAGAGAATTATTTCCATGTTACAGTTTGGGAACCAAAGAAAAGAAAAGGTAGGTGACCAGCCCAAGGTCATGCAGGAAGCCAGAGGCAGATCCGGGAATAGAGAGCAGCAACCCTGGGTCGAGCAGTGCCTGAACAATGGAGCAGCCGCTCGCCCTCTGTTGGCCTTTAACTCTTTCCTACCCCACCAAAGAGCAGAAGAGGTTGGTTATATTCTTCTCTCTGTTGCCTTCCAGTTCTCGAACCTCACCTGCTTTTATCACACCAAGACGAAGAGGTGAGGCAGCAGGGAAAGCCAGGGCTGGATATCCTCACATCAGCAAGGCTTCAGGGAGGCGACGCTTCCACGGAGCAGGCCCGGGCTGTCCCTTCAGCAATTACAGCAAGCACAATCAGTCTTTTTACAGAACAGTCCCTCGGCTTTGACATGGCTCCACTTCTGTGAGCAACAAAACATCACTAGGTCCCCTGGAAGCATTCAGCTCTGTTAAAATGGTTCTGGTATGGTTGAGGATCTTTAGCTGAAGGAGGTGACATTGTTCCCTCTTCCCATTTTTGGTTTAGCTGCAAAAGTCAGGGGTGTGCAGCACAACCGTACAACAAAAATGCAGTCTCACTAAGTCTGTTCTTTTTTTTTTTCACATTGAGTCTGGAAATGCTGCAGTGCAGGGTCTGGAAAAGACAGGAGTTATGAACAACTGCAACTAAACCACGCAGAAAGTAACTTGAGGAAAATCAAAGACTCAGGTTGTGCAAAAACATGTGAGCACGCTGAAATGGACCTAGAGCAAGACTCTCCCAGGGAGAAGGGGTGAGAAGCTACAGACCCTGTCTGAAAGGAGTTTGGTGTCCTTAAGTCAGAGCCCAGTTCCAAATCAGAAAAATGGGCAAAAAATCAAGGCTACCTCCTTGGGTCTATTGCCTGGAAGGGACAGACATCCTGGGCTGTTTTCAGTCACTCCTATAAAGCCAATCTGTGCAGGGAGTGAAGGAGAAGAGACTGCACTCTTGCACCAGAGATTGCAACAAGAAAATCTTCAAGCGTGCCACAACCCTTTGAATACTTCCCAGCCAAAGGCACGGTGAAATTGTGAGCTTTCAGTGCAAACCAGTTCAAGGATGGTTTCCCCGGGGAAGGTTTTGTTTCCTTATGGGGATTTCTGCACAGATCTTTGCTCTTAGGGTAAGCAACCTAAGCTTTTCTTAAAAGAGAAACCACTTCCTATATTCCCTGAAAATAGGTGATAAGTAAGAGCTGGGAAGAACTAGAGCACAAAATTGTTGCCCTAGAGAACAGGGTTAAAAGGCTGTGTGGATGTGCACTCGGTGATGCTTGCAGCAAAGCAGATGTCACCAACCACAAGTGCAAATACTTCCCTGAGTTTGGAGAGCTTTTCCTCCTCAGAAAGGAACTCCTGCACTTCAGGAGGGCAACAATAGAGCAGCAGGATGTTTGCCAAGGAAGTGTTAAACGCTAAAAGGATTCCAGTCCTTTGCAGTTCTGGGCTGAGACAAAGAGAAAGAAAAAGAGGAGAGACTGAGTGCTAATAAAAGCAGCAGTCGTGGTTTTAAAAGTCTACACCAACATTTACCCGCCAGGCTGCGTGGCCTCCAAAACAAAAGTCCTAGATTCAGGCCAGACTCCTCTCTAATGCTGCTGAGAACAAAGACATGTTGACACAAATCACCCGAACGCCTTTTGGTGTTCTAGGCCACAAAACCAACATGCAATTTGGGAACAAGGAGGTTTAAATCAAAGTTTGTTGCTAATTAACTGCGCTAGTTTAATCTAAGATAAAAGATTCCAGTCAAAGCAACAAAATCAAGCCTTATTTCAGTGCATTCATTCTCTAATTGCAGCTCCAGTCTGACTAACCCTTTGCTGTAGGACTCGCCTCTCACACAGGCAACACGGGACACTTGGTTTCAATCAACTTTGCCAGCACCTGCAGTCTTGTGACGCTGACTGTTCCCTATTAAATTAAATAGGCTGTCAGATACCAGGTAAATTACCACAGGAGCTTGGATGTAGCTCTCAGGCAGCCATGGTCCTGTGAGAAAGTCAGTGCATTAGGCTCTGGCTCATCCTGTCCTGCTTTGCTGAGAAGGATGGTCTGAAAGGGCTTTTTCTAGCTCTGATTTTCAGAAGACCGAGCAGACTGCAGCTTCCAGTAAGGCTGCCATTACACAAATGAACTTCTTTTGTTTTTCATTTTAATTTGGATAAGTATAATTATTGATTCTTTCCTTTTGATTCACATTGGCCCTAAAGCCAGAAAAGCGTGTTACTGTCAGACCTATCAGAATGTGATTTTTAGGAAGATCTTGAATCCTTTTCTATTTTTTCCTTCAGTATTGATCCCTTACTAATGACAAACAAACATACTGATGCAAACTCACGGCCCCAGTGTGTTTTCCTTATTAGAGAGGAACAAAATGCCGTTACCATATGTAAACTGCTTCAAGTAACTGTCATAAAAAAACACACAAACACAACTGCTCACCTCACTGCTGCTCAAAGGGAAAGACACCTGGGATTAACTCCCTTTGTCGCTGGATAATGCCTTTGTAGATGTATCTCCTGCTCACGCACGCTGTAGGGAATAGGAAGAGAAGCTCCTTGTGCCAGGACGAAGCCCTTGGTGCAGGAGCTCCTCACACCACTGAGTCCATCCAGGCTTTGGGATTTGGGCATCACAGGAACCTTGTTTTCCAAAGGCCTGCTCGGATTTGTGCTGTAACCCTGCAGCACCCCGTTGCCCGTTATCAGCTCCACGGCCTTTACAGGAGCTGAGGCTGCAACACTTCAGCCCCATTTCACCTCAAAGGGAAAAGCTCTTGGACTGCGGGTGCTGCCTGCGAGCACTGCTGCGGGGAGCCCGTTTAAGAACCAGGGAACCACACTGCCCCTGGTCTTGCTGCCCACACTCCGGGACCGCGATCAGGGCCCTGCAGAACGCCACCTCCTCCTCTTTTATCACAGGATTTCGCCATCCCTGCCCCTGTAGCCATGCACTGCCAGCTCTGGGTACGCTGTATGCAGCTCCCCTGCCCTTTCAAGCAGGGCTGGCAACGAGCTGGCTCCTCAGGGATCCTTCTGGGAGGCTGAATTATTAATTGTTTTATTATTAATATTATTATTTTATTATTATTAATTGAACCACTGCCCTAATAGACCCGCAGGCCCAGCCCGGAACAAAGTGAGGCCGGAACCTCCCACCGGGGGCGCTGTTTCCCGGCCGGACCCAACCCACGGCCGGACCCACGAAGGGCAACGCCGCGGGCCGGCTCCCAGGCCTTCCGGCAGAAGCGGCCTGCTATTGGGCGAGATGCCGGAAGTCCCGCCTCCCCCCGCCGTACTTCCGGCGGTGGCCATGGTGACGGCGGCGGGCAGGTAGGGCCCGGCCGGGGGGGCCCTGAGGGGACGGGGACGGCAAAGGGCGGCTGGGGGGGGGGGGGGGGGGGGGCCGTGAGGGGCCGGGTTGGTAATCCTGAGGGTTACATTGATAATCCTGAGGGGTTGGATTGGTAATCCCGGGGGTGTATTGGTAATCCTGAGGGGGTGTATTGATAATCCCGGGGGTTATTTTGGTAATCCCAAGGGTCGTATTGATAATCCCAAGGGGGTGTATTGACAATCCCAGGGGTTGTATTGGTAAAACCAAGGGTTGTATTGGTAATCCCGGGGGTTGTATTGATAATCCTGAGGGGTTGTATTGCTAATCCCGAGGGGTTACGTTGATAATCCCAGGGGCTATACTGAGATCTTTTTGGGGTAAAAGCATAAATAAATGGCATTAAGCGACTCCCAAAACACAGCGGATCGTCTCCTCAGGCACTGCTCCAAGTGATAGCGGGGAGATAGCAGGGTTTTCGAATTGCACCTTAAGAAGTTAATTCAGACTGTTATAACTGAGCCTTCCCACCTCAGCAGCCCCCAGACGACCGATCTTTGTTGCCATCCACTTACAGACCTGGTGTCCGCCTGCTCCTGTTGCCTGGGGCAGTCCTCACCGTCACACTTCCCATCATTTCTGTTCAGAAATCCAGCTGGGGTCTTGGATTCCTTCTCCCAAACCCCTCCTCCCTTTCTTCTCTGAACAATTACCTTTTACTGAGGAGTTCTGTCCAGGCACTGAGTTCCTTCTTAGGCCTTTTGCTGATTTCTAATGCCCTCAGGGTATCTCGCACATCATTTTCTGCTCATGAAGTCTGGAGTGAAAGCAGATAATGTAAGTGCACACAAGCATTTTGTTAATTCAGCTGTTTCAATGAGCGTAGTCACTTTATTTTTCTCATTAGGTCTTGAGTGAGCTTTTTGAACCTTCACTTACCATTGTTTGGGGACCTGGTGAGTCAGAGAAATTGTCAAATTTCCTGTTTGCTTCTATTAAATCACTGATTGAATAGACAATGCTGCCTTCCTTTTTCCCCTGACCTCAAAGTCTACACATTTCATGTCAATTTCTTTCTGAAGCAGTTGGATCACCAAGAACATTTAGCTGTTGTTAAACGCAAGCAATGCTCACTCTTCTTCCCTGTCAAACACGGCTTGAAAAGGATTTAGTGAATGTGGTCTGCTTGAGGGAATGCCCATTTCCCTGGCAGATACCAGGTGCTGCTGCAGTGTGATGAGCAGCTCATCTCTCAGTCCAGTTCTGCTCAAAGTTCTCAAGAATCCTAAGGAAAGAAATGAAAATTAATTTTTTTCCCTTTTAATTAATGAGATAGACACTTCAGTGTGCGCTATAAAACCAGAGTACATCCCAAAACCAATTAAAATAACAGAGTTGCAACCAATTCACAAACTTAGCCTTTTTTTTTTTTCCTTTTATCAAGAGAACGTAAAGAACACTGTTGGACTTGGGGATGCTCTGCATGAAGTACAGGAAATTGTTTTTCAGTCCTAGATCTAGCCAGACTCTCACCAAAACCTCTACCATTTTGCATTTGCCTCCATCTTTTCAATCCGGGGGTTAAACCACCCCACATCTCGGAGGCCGCACGCCGCCGTCTTCCCAAGCTTTGCTTTCAGAGGCTGTGCGAGCATTGGACGGAGCCCAGCGCGCTGCCTGGCCCGCTGCCAGCGGGTAATTTAAGTCAGCTGGGTCCCCCTGAGAGCCCAGAGGGAGACAGAACCTCGCAGTCCCAGGCAAGCGAGCCCCTTTCCCAGGTAGGATTTGTGCTTTCTTCGGACTAAAGGTGGGAGCTGACAAAGCCCGGAGCCACTTGCTGCTCCTTAGGGAAAAAAAACGAGTTTTTCCTTGGTGCCCCCTGCCCCCCCTTTAAATGCCACCTTTTCATTTCTGAAAATAGCCGCCCAGTTGCTGCCATTTGTCATTTAAGGGACAATGTGATTCTAGGTGGCCGAAGCTAAAGGAGAATAGGGCTTGTTTCGAGAAACTTAGCGCGGTTTTGGTTGCTTTTAGGACTCGATCTCATCTTTGCTGCCCTCAGTGCACTCTTGACCTTATTAACTGAGCTCCGTGTTCCTTCTGAAATCATTATCCTGGCTGTCATGGGGTAGCATCCAGTTTTTGTTACAGGGGGAAAGCTCTTCTTAATGGATGTGTGTGATTTATTTTATGCTAAGCCTTTCAGAAAGTTTGCAGTTGCTTGTACTTGCTTTCATTATCAGTGCTCTTATTTCTGCTCTCGATAACCTGCTGGTTCCAATCCTGTATTTTGGAGGGAGAACTGAGAATTTCAGGTTTTTATTTCGACCTGTAAAGAGCAGTGGCTTCTCTCCTGCAGGTAATTTGATGTCATAAATGTTAAATGACAAGAAAAAATAAGAAATCCCTGCTTTTTCCAATGTGAGCAGCCACATTTTTGAACCCAGGTGAGAGGGGGATCTCACACCTTGGAGCAAGAGCTCTGAGCTGATCCTGTTCACCTCAAATAAGGCGGTGAAACCGATGCCCTCCCTGCCAACACTCTTGTTTTTACTGCGACTCAGCCTTACCTGCCCTGAGGTGCTTTGAGCTACTTCAGAGTTTTATCTGCTTAATTTGGGTTTTATGCTTCTCCTCTTCTCCCAGCGTTTGTTTTGCAAATTAGCATTTCTGTTGATGGGAACCAAGTCTTCCTTTTTTTTTTTTTAATTTGTGATCTCATTCACCTTCAGATCACAGCAGTTTTTTTCACATCAAATAATCCCAATACTGAACAGAAAATAATTACTCCTTCAGCTTGCAGCATTTTGTTTTTCCTTTGTCCTTTTCCCCCAAATATTCCTGAAAATGTCAGAGCTGCCCTGTTACGTCAGCAGCCTAGCAGTGGGTTCAATCCCATGGATGCTGTTGAACACACTGCAGCATGCCTTGAGCTGATTTCCACGGCTTTTTGTTCTGCTGATTCTCATTTTATGATTCCTTTATGTTCGATATTACAAACTCCAGTAAGGGCTCGTGGTTTCGTGAAGTAAGCTGGGACAGGAAAATAAAGAAAAAAATATTGCCTTAGGGCTGAAGAGCTGCAAGAATTCTTTCATCTTTCCAAAACAGCTCAGCTCGGCCAGGCATTTGTCTTTCTGAAACCTGGCTGAGCTGGGATTTTCTTTGTTCTGGGGCTCTTTTTAAGGCACCATTTGAGTCCCTTCCATGGAAAATACCTGCAACTGGACGACCTAATTAAAAAAGATCTACACCTTTGCTTGGCTATTCCTTCTCACCCTTGCTCCCCTCTTCTGTGCAGTCTTTCTCATTGCCATCCCCTATTTCCCTTCCCCTATATCAGGAGTTAATTACCTGTTGATTCAGACTCCAGCCTGGAAGCTGCAGAAGCGGGTTGCAGCTGCTGAGTGGGTTCAGGGCTTGCTGCAGCCTTCAGGCAGGCAGAGATCAGCCAGTTTGCCACGTTCCTGGACCTAACACGGAGAGAAAGAAGAGAAAGAAAACCAATAAAAGGGCTTGGAAAGCTTTTCAAACAGAAAGGATTAAAGGCAGACCTTTGTTTATAAGGTAGATGAATAACAAACGACGCGATTAAGGAGTAAGTTGAGCAGGTGTAACTGGTTCATGCTGGTGAGCAACGGGTGCTGCAGGACCAGAACACAGCTGGCTGTGTTGGTGGGCTTGGGGGCTCTTCTCCACCAGCCCCTGGGGCAGGATTCAGTCCTTGCAAACTCAACCTTCATTTTGCTAAAGAACACGAAAAACCCATGCCCTAAACAAACGTGGGAATGCCTCCCATCACCTGGTGTGGTTTAGTGAGGAAAAGGGATCAGAAGAGCTCCCTCTTACCAGCTCTGTGCCTCTGCATTTTACCAAAACCAGAAGCAAAACCAGATTTCTGAAACGTGTCAGCTTCAACGCAGGCTTGTGAGAGAAGTGCCACTCCACCTGTCTGATCCCGCTTTGGAAATAATCAAAGGCCCTAAATGGGAGCTGGATATTTTTGATTCCAAACTGCCCTGAAAGCCACGCTGGTCAATGTCAGCACCTGTCGTCCCTGCCCACCTCTTGTCTTCTGAATCTCATGAGAGCCTTAGGAGCAAAGAAGGACAACAAAGAGGCAGCTGCTTTAAATGAGACAGCAGAAGCACCTCCTGCTTCCAAAAGGGAGCCAGCAGCCCCGTATCTAAACAGCTCTTTCCCGGGATTTATTTTTTGAGGAGGGGTGTTCTGCACTCTCCTCACTTTAAAAAACTTCACCAGGCTGCTTTGTAAATCAGCACAACCCACACCGTTTCTGCACACTCAGCACTGAGAGGTGGAGGAATAAGACACTGAACAGCTGGGCGCTGTGCTTGTGCGCTGCTTCGCGACGGAATGAGTTCAATCCTCCTCCTGGCTCTCTGATTTCTCACTGCAGGCACACTCCCCGTGCCCCAGGGGAGCCTGTGCCCTGGCTGCCTCTCTGCAGCGCGTTACACAACGAGGCACTCTGTAAAGATCCACGAGTTAGCTCAGGAAGCTCCACAGTAGCTGGAGAAGAGCTGTGTGCCAGCTCGACAGCTTCGCTTTTAGATCTTGTCACACTTATTTAGCGCTAGATGAGCTCTCTGTGTGTGATTTTGTCCTAGCTGTACCTCCACAACTACTTTATACAGCTCGTTACAGGTTGAGCAAGCTGGCCTGCTCGCTGACCAGCTACCTGAGGAATCCTGTTCAAACCCCTGATGGAAATCCAGGCGAGCACGGCCTTTTCCACATCAGCTGTGTCCCACGACTAGTACAGCCTCTGCCATCCCTACAGCCCCATCCAAGCTCAGTACTACTTAACGACCCCGATTATGGCTTATTATTATTACACACCTGTCATTTTCTACTTCTCATGCTCTTGTGTTTGAAGTACTGCATAAGTTGTCTGCCCAATCCCTGCCAGTATCTTCCTGGTGGAGAACTGTCCTGCAGCGCTCAAACTATCTGCAAAACAGGGAAAATATGCTAATACTTGGCTTAGGCTGTACATGCAACCCGAAAGATGTGCAAACTCGAAGAAGGGGTTGTAACTGGCTTGCATTTCCTCTGAAAAAAAGCCTCAAAGCTTGGGGGTACACACAGTGGGAAACTTGGTGACCTTTTTCCCAGCAAAGATATCACTTACCTCTTTGGCCACCTAGGAAGCTGTAACATAAACTCCTCGCCTGAAGGCGATGGCTTAGCAAGGAGATTGGGGCTAGGCATTGACCTCAGAACCCAATTCCAGGCTGAGCTTGGTCCTGAGGATACCTTCAGCTTGGGTTTCATTCACACAGGTTTAGTTTCAGGGCATCGGAACATGGGCTCATGCTGCTAACAAACTGCACGATTAATGTTGGCATTAAAGAGCACGAATGTAGGCTTCAGCTGCTAGATTGGACATGGGGCTCATTTCACTCAGGTGACTGCTCTGTCCCAGCAGGTTCTGAAAGACACGGGAGATGGAGCCACAGATTTCAGGGCATTGAGCAAATAATGTGCTCGGAGGGAAAGCTTTATTCTGCGTCTCCTGAATGTAGAGGGGGTTATATCCATCTGGGATAACGCACAGTAACGGGTCTCTGGCATGTAGACACCGTAGCACGGGCTGTTCTAGAGAAATCCAAGAGGTTTTGTTACAATTAGAAGCATGCAGAGACATATCCCAGCCCTGCAGAGCTTTCATTCTAAACAGTTTGTACAAGGGACAGAATTTAGAGCAAAATGGAAAAGCACACGGGAACAGCATCCCGCAGCCCACATTTGTTATGTGGTGCTTATAAGATCCAAGCGTCCTGCTGGGATGGTCAGGTTAGCATTTACATGCTTAAAATTGGGTACAGATGTCAACTTTTGGAAGCCCAGATGAAGGATTCAGGAAAATTTATTGAAGATACTTCTGTATGGTGTTTGGTTTACTGGTGGTCTAAGGCAGGGGTAGGAAAAAGCATTTCCCAAGTTTTCAAGCCTCTGCTAATTTTCTTATCAGTAAAGCGGTCTGTTTCCTTTCATCTTGTGGCTCTAGGAAGACTGCTGAGAAAGGAAGACTCATGGATCTCACATCCACCGTCATCATCCCACTGCTCTTTGGCAGCTTGGGGCTCTTCGCCCTTTTTCGGCTGCTGCAGTGGATGCGGATGCGAACTTACCTGCAGGGAGCGGTGGTGGTGGTCACCGGGGCCACCTCTGGCCTGGGAAAAGGTAGGTACTGACAGAAGGGTGCCAAAGGCAGGATAAGGAGTTCAAATTTTGGTGCGAAAAGTCTCAACATTTGTAGAGGGAAATTTTATCCGCCCTCCAGTCGGTATAATCTGGAGCTCATCAAGGCAAGGAACACGCTGGGCCTTCCTGTGCTCTGAGGGCTCTTCTCTCTAAATCTTTAGAAAGCCAGGAAGTCAAATTGTTTCTGTAAAACTTCCCACGTCAATTGTTCTGCATTTACTTCGGTTGTTGTATTTCTGGTGCTCTGCCATCCTTTCCCCTCCTTCTCCAACCCCAAGTACCTTTTCTCTTGTGCTACAAGTCCATCTATTGACATTAAAACTCTCGGCAGTATTAATATAACTTTTCTTCCTAATATAAGCCATTTTTTCTCCAAATATATATTTTTGAGTGGTATGTTTTCTAATTCTGCTTTAATTTAAAGCAGCTTTATATTTCTCCTCAAGAAGAAATTATAGGAGTATTCCAGGAGAGAGCTTCCAGCTGTGATACGCTGGGCAGATGGAGCGCTGTATATTCCTGGCTGTTCCTTCCCACAGTTTTCCTGCTCAGGAATACCAAAGCCACCCCAGACCCTTGCTAGCTAAAAGTTCTAGCCTGCCATCAAACATCACGTGCTGTTTGTCTCTGGCATTCAGATCTTTTCTTTTCCTTCCTTCCTCCAAAGAATGCGCAAAAGCCTTCCACGCAGCTGGCTCTAGGCTGGTGCTGTGCGGCAGAGACAGCGAGAAACTCAAAGACCTGGCTCAGGAGCTTACTACCATGACCAATCACCGAAAGAACGTAAGTGTGGGAGAAGGAAAGGCTGCTCGTCCCAGTGCGTCTGGGATTTCTGTTCAGGCTGCTACAAAAGTTAGAGCTGCTTGTGGGTTGTTGTGTTGAGCAATAGGAAAAATGCAACTCTGTGGTTAGGGATAGATATTGCTAGAGGAGTACACGGAGCTGACATGTCATATCTTGTAAAAACCTGACAAAAATAAGCCAGCTGAAAGACTCCTGTTCCCTTGTAGTGGGGGTGAACACGTAACCGAGTGCAGAGTCCCCAGGCCCCCCTGCACCCTTATACCATGGACTGAATGTGGAGAAGCGACTTTCTTTGTCTGGGCTTTTAGTTTTGACCTCTAGTTCTGCTGGCAGTGGATAGCAAAGGTATTGCTGGCTTCTGAGGAAAGATATGAGTTTGCTTTTGACTACATCAGATGCATTTTCTTTAGTAACACAATAGCAAACTTTAGCACTCAAGGAAGATCTCACTTGGTTTAAGGAACAGGCTACAGGAGCAGAAAAACACCCGAGTACAAGCTGCTTCTGTCACGTATTCCTGTCTCTGACTGCAGAAGGTTTAGATGGCTCCTCCTCTGCATGGGAAATCCCATCTCTCCTCAAAGTCAGGAGCATGAACGTAAGCACGTTCAGCACCCCCTGAACATCTTTTTGCTAACTTTTGTTTACTCAGCTACACGAACCCCACACCGTGGTATTTGATCTTTCGGACACTAAAAGCATCCTAAACGCTGCAGAATTGATCCTGAAGCACTCGGGCCACGTGGACATCCTGATCAACAACGCAGGCATCAGTTACCGGGGCACAATCATAGACACGGGGCTGGATGTGGACAAGAAAGTGATGGAAACAAATTACTTCGGTCCTATAGCCCTCACCAAAGGTACTTGGGATTCATGGTACAGGGGGGACAGTGGCTGGTACCTTCTGCAGGCCACCACAGCTAAGCACAGCTCACATCCTGTTTGTAATTGTATTTGGCCCAGAACAATACGAGGGAAGGAGAGTTTTGTTTTATGGGCAGGCCTAAAGTTGGTTATTGGGCATGAGTGCACGGGAGGTACCCGATGAGAGATGATGCCTCGTTTAAAACACCTCCTGACTCTAGTCTGCCACGAACTTCTGAAGAGAGACGTGGCTAGCCTGTCTGCTCTGATTAATCCTGGGGGAACTGAGTCTGGACTCTAGGCGAGGCTGTGAGCTTCCTGAGGCAGGCTCTCTGCTTATACATAAAGTTCTCTGCTTATACATAACATTCATCCTAGAGGGTGCAAGCTGCAGGAACTGGAAAGATGCACTGGTGGCAGAAAAGAGCAAGTCCTGCTGACTATGCCTGTGGGAGACCACAGCCACTGCAAGGCCTTTGTGCAGCCTCATAGGTTTAACAAACGCACTGATTCTCAACAGCAGCAATGGTAGAACTGTTGTTCTTATTCTTTTCTCTCTTGCTAGCACTTCTCCCCTCCATGATCAAGAGGAGACAAGGCCACATTGTGGCCATCAGCAGTGTTCAAGGCAAAATAAGCATTCCCTTCCGATCAGCATGTAAGTACCTCCACACAAGATGGGGAAGATATTTGGGGGACCTGACTGAAGGAATAACTCCACATTTAGCTCTCCAAAGAGCTGGCTGCATGCAGGAAAGGCAGGGCTGTAAATTATCCTTAGTGTGGTTATCACACTAAGAAACCTCTGACAGCTGTTGAGGAAGATACACTCAAATACAAAATCTTAGCCCTGTCCTGAAGTTGTTTCAGGACGGAGAAGGAGAATAAGGAATGTGATCCTTGCTTAGAATTTTGGTCTTCTGTGTGACATTCCTATCTTAATACTTGAGAGTCCCAGTAAACTTCCTAGCCCTTAGGACTGATTTGCTCCCTAATTTTATTTCTTTTTATGCTTGCTGTTTGTCTGATTAATATTCTGTAAGTAGGAACTTTTTGGTTTAATAAGTAGCAAAGTGCCATGGTACAACCAATACCAAAATAAAAGCTCGAATCAGATGTATCCAGAAATAATACTGGTGAGATTACTGGAAGAAGCCTTACAAAAGATAGAGAGAAGTATATTTGGCATAAAAGCATCTGTAATCATTAAAAATAAACAGGAAAATGAAAAAGTACAGTGGGGATGGCATAAAACTGGTAGGGCATGGTGCTGAGTGCAGGAGAGCCTGGAACACCTGGGTCATCAGGGCTTGCTGATGGTGTGGGTATGATTGCACCAAGAAGCGTGTTCTGAAGAGCTGCCGGAGTGCTTACACCATGACCAGAGCCCCGTGGATCGGACAGCAGGGCCTCAGCTCGTGCCAGTAGGTCCTCAGACAGGGCACGCAGCCTGTGCTGAGTTCTGCTGGTGTCAACCCTGCAGCTGTGGTGAGCAGTCACAGCAGTAGCCAACAAGCACACAGGGAAAGTGAGCGAGCAAAAGGAGTTGCCCAGCCACTGAACAAGGGGAACTCCTGCCCTAGGCCACGCTACTTCCCGTGTGCTTGCGTGATCAGGGTTTGACTTTCGTGCAGCCAGGCCATGAACCTGCTCAGTCCATAGTGCTTAGTGCAGGCAGGCCAGCAGGGTGCTCAGCAGCAAATGTCAGCCCTGCCTGCCTTTCCTGGGCATCTCGTTCCCCCAGCCCCAGTCAGTCTTATCAAACGCTTGCCAAGACAGTCTTCACGTCTCCTTTATCACGAGTGGGAGGCAGCTTGGGTTCACTCCATAATGCTTTGGCATGGCTGAGATATTAAGCTCAGGATCCCAGCCAGTTTCCAACTTGAGTATTTACATTTTGCCTTCCTAAATTGCCTCTCACTCCCACTACCTGTTGCTGCCATTCACTAAAAACAACTAGAAGCTGGTGAACAGCTACTGGGTTCTTGCTGAGAAGCGGCTGCGCTTCAGTGAAAGACCCATTCAGGGGAAGGAACCACTCCTCAGCTCTGCTCCTTCCCCTTAGGGCTTAGCCCTTTTCCTGTTTTCCAGATGCTGCTTCTAAACATGCTACCCAGGCCTTCTTTGATTGTCTGCGAGCAGAGGTTGAGCAGTATGAGATCGATGTGACGGTTATAAGCCCTGGATACATTCAGACCAACCTTTCTCTCAATGCTGTAACAGCAGATGGATCTCGCTATGGAGGTGAGATGTGATTTTGTGTCCTGTATCTAAAGCATCTCCAGCTCCCTGAGTTACTCCCAAGTATGCTTGCAATGTACAACCTCTGATGGGGACAAGTTAGTCCTGAAGTATCAAAAGACAACTTTGAGGAGAGGTGTATCTGCTTCTCTCTAACATCAATTGACACTCAAAATGAGAAAAATATACTGAAGCATTGAACTGTGAGCCTTATCTTCAGAAATAGACCACGAGGCTCGTGTAGGTGCAGCCTGGATGTCAGGAGGAGCACGTGCTGACTTCTAGCCCAGCCATGAACTCCACCTGCCTGTGGTCCCATACACAGCTAGTGCAAAACCAAGAACTAGACCAGGAACCACGTGCAGTTAGTGCATTCCTAGGAAAGGTGCTGAAGTGTGGGCTTACCTGCTGATGTTGGTGTTTCCTCGGCTTTGTTTTGGCAGTCATGGACAAGAACACCGCTGAAGGCCAGACAGCCGCAGAGGTCGCTCAGGTGGTTCTCAGTGCAGTGGGGCAGAAGAAGAAGGAAGTTCTCGTAGCCGGCCTGATGCCCTCGCTGGCTGTCTACCTACGAAATCTCTTTCCCAAGCTCTTCTTCGACTTAATGGCAGCTAGAGCTAAAAAGGAGAGAAAAGCAAAGGACTCCTAGAGCTCAGCTCGCTCTCGAGCAGTAACTGTAGGGAGAGGCTAACCCCCTGCAGTTGGCAGGGACATCAGCAGAAGTGCTCCTGCAGGAAAACCCTTTCTGAAGATGCTGCAACTTACCATTGCATGGAGAGTGGGAAGCAGTTTCCCCCACAACAGGGCAGGCCCACGTGCCAGAAGACAGCACCTAAGCCTCACCCAAAGAAGGGTGCTTGGAACAAAGTAGGAGAGCTGAGGCTGCAGGGGAGGGTAACTCAAGGCACACACCTCACAGGAGAGGCCAGCACTTCACCTTACCTCACCCCAGGCACACTCAGCTTTACTGGCCTGCTACAAATAAAACCCACCTGGTTTGCCTTCATGCAGGCAGATTTTAGCTTTCCCCACCCCATGGCCCCTGTGAAATACGGTCCCCAGCTGGGAGCTCTCGTGATCAATGTCTCCTTCCCACTCCTTCCAATCTTATCCAAAACATGTTGCTTGAAGTGGAAAGCTTCAGAGCCTCTGCTTGCTAATGTGCCAAATCATCTGATATGTTAAGCTAAAACTAATTCCAGTGCCACTTTTTAAAAAGTAACTGATGTAGAATGCAAGTTTTATTTGGGAACGATGTTATCTGCCTGAATCATGCCTTACTGAGGTGCAGCCATCCCACTCCGCACTACCTGACAGTGCAGTATTAACCCCGGCACAAGTTCGTGCAGAGGAAGCATCAAAACAGATTAAAACATTAAAACAGATTAAAAAAGAGCACGGCAAGGTATGTTGTTGAGTGTAAATACCCTGCACCTGATAGCACACCTGGCTCACCCACAGGCCTAGAGCACAGAGGTGTGATTCTTTAGATGCCTGGCAAGCAAAGAAGAATCTGTGTGTGTAGGGTGGACAACACAGGAGACAAGCCCGTAGTTCTCGCCTGTTTTAAGGCAATCACAGCTGCCAGTTTGGGTCACATCCAGCGAGGGCAGGAGATCTGCCTGACCAGGTACCATGGGCTCGAGGGCATCGAGCAGCCCGAGGGAGCGCCATACCCCGTTCTCCATCCCTTCCCTTGTTCCCATGCAGCATAAAGCTTCTTCCTCCTCCTAGAGGGACATGGCCTGTCCTGACTGATCCCAGCAACACTGGGAAAAAAGAGAGCCTGGGCCGAGATAGTTCAGAAAGGTTAGAAAGACATAAATGTATTAACTGAAATGCAGCCTACAGTGTAGGGGCCTGGGCCTAGACCCCTGCTGCCACCTCCATGCACCTCGCAGCATTCTCCCTGCGTACTGTTGCGTATGTCCTGCCTGGGAGCACCCATCTGATGACAAATAAATTACGTTGCCATGAACTGCATCCTTTGTTCTACTTCACTCCTCGCAGCCTGTAACTTTGCAGGAAGAGAGATCATTTTTTCCTGTACAAAACCAAGGCATTACCTCCTCTCCCTCCCTACAAGGAGAGCTTCTCTAATTGTTAGGTGTGCTTTTCCTTTCATGTGCTGCACGCTCAGGCCTTTCATTTCTTGGTGAAATGCAGTATTCCTGCCAGGCTTGTCCAACTGCTCTGTCATCCGATGGTTCAAACCGTGGCAACCCAGAAAGGATGAAGGGGCCACTTGGCGTTTCTGCCTTATCTTCCAGGGTGCTGAGGGGTACACAAAGCAGCAGACCTGAGGAAAAAAAAATTAGGGAATTACTGCAGCTACTGTGCACAGAACTACAGCTCCGAGTCAGATTTCCAAGGGTGCACATGCTCCCCTTTGAAAGGAAATTCCCCCTTTTTTACAAGGAGCCCTTTCCACATTTATTTCTTCTCTACCTGAGAAGAGTGAAAGGTTTTTAAAGCAGACCCACCTGTTGTGATAGCTGACTTCTTTGCTTTTCCTCCTGCAATAAGAGACCGCAGGAAACTTGCTCATCTCTAACCCTGAAGCCTTTGATGCAAGCCATGCTCTCAAGGAGGCTACTGGGAGTTAGGACTTCTGGCAGAGGGATCAGTCCAGGCAAGGGAAAGCTTAACACAAAAAAAAATATCCAGGACCACAGAGGTTTAGTGGGGAAAAAAGAAATAGCCCTGACAGTTCTTCTGCAATGGTCAAAAAAAAAAAAAAAAAAAGAGCAGGAATGCCTTATGTGGCTAGACGAGGATATTTTGGGGCCTCCTGCTGTAGCTAATAGATTCATTATTGCTGCAGATCTGCCACTAGTTTAAAATTCATCCAGCAGACAGACAGGACTGAAGGAACAAGCAATGTCAGGGCTCGAAAAGTAGCTGCCCAGCAGTCTGAGGCTCTGCCACAGAAAGATGAAGCAGTTGCATTTCTTCCCCTCCGCCTTGCCAAGGCAACTGTATATTGTTGCTATAAATAGAGATGCTCTGGATCCCGACTTCTTTTAACCTTGGAGCGAGGCAACTCACCCACTGTACCAGTAAGAGGCCAAGGCTTTAAACAGGGCCGTTGCCACCTAGAAAAGCCTTGATGCCACAGAAATTCCTCTAACCTGGCTGCCTGCGTGGGCGGTGAAAGGATTGTTCAGGACTCCTCGCAAACGCCACTTGCCCAGCACGTGCCCAGCCGGGACGCACGCCCTGCTGACAGAAAACCCACATCAGCAGAAAAACGCACGTCGGAGCCTTTGCCAGAAAAGCCTGCTGCAGCCTGGAGGCGGGGGGAGCTCGCGCTGCCTGCCTGCTGTTGCAATTTGAAGAGATAAAGATAGAACTGAAGTTGGTTTCTGACCTCATGAGGCTGCCTCCCAAGGTCAGCGCCTCGGCTGTGGAGGTCGGGCTGCAGCTGGCATTTACAGGCGAGCAGTGCACCTGAAAGCAGGCAGGTTTTATTGCAGGGCCTCGCTGCTGTATCCAGCTCATAACCCTTGAAGCTGTGCCAAGCTGGCCTTCTTAACGCAAGCCACACCTATTTTCCATCTGCTAGGAAGAGATTAGAGAAAGCAAGCCCCGTCTTTAACAATTAACTGGCAGATCTTGCAAACCAGTAAACGCTTTCCATTCAAAGAGCAAGATTTTGACAGCTTTGAGCTAGAAGTTGAATTCACGCAGAAGGCTGAATTCTAGAATTTCAGGTAACACAGCTAAAAAACACAACCACCTGGCTGCCTTGCAGCAGCAGGCAGCTCCAGAAGTCTGTGTTCCAAGCCAGACCAGTGGAATCGCACAGTAGGAGGGCAGCTGTCCAAGTGCCAGTGGAAGTAAAGGAGGCAAAAGGTAAGAGACTCGACTCCCACCCTGGCAGTCCTCAGCTGTACGTGCTCCAGCACATTTCAATGGGGATGTATCCATATTGTGAGGAACTGTGAAGTAACTGAGCAGTGTTTTGAGCTGGAAACAGCATTATTTCCCTTGTGCAAAGTAATAGTTGGAAGATAGCATGGCAGCAGAGGATTTGGGCCCTGCTAGCCCCCAGCATCAGTATTTGTGCAATTACCAAAACTCATAGAAATACTGGGGTAACTGGTACGCCCTCTTCCAAGAAACACAACTAGTCAAGCAAGAGGAAAAGCAGCACTACAGCCCTTCCTCCAGCAGGCAGCTGTGAGGTGATGTGGATGCTGCTGCCACATGCAACAGACAAGAGGAGTACCAGGTCTGTATGTCAGCACACACACATCGTTAGCAGCACTGGAGTTCTCCCAGCAAAGCTTCCAGCCCCTGGAAGCACACTGTAAAAGGGAGCTACGTTAACAGTAACGAGAGAGCAAAATCATTTGAAATTCTCATCCTTTAATGGTCAATGATAACTTCCGGCTGGTTCTGTGTAATACAATTAAACAATATACTTAAATGTTTCCAAAAAAAAAAAAAAAAAAAAAAAGCTCTCACACCCCCCTCTTTCCATAGCTTTCTTTCATCGGCACTCCACTGCTGCATTGGACTCCCATGGCCTAACATACTTCTCTCCTTTCACCACACATCCAAATTCTTAAGTGTAACGAAGAACTGAAAAACCTTGGTGCACCAGTGATGTGTTATTTTAAAAATAACAGCTCTATTAAACCACCTCCTTCCCAGTCTCCACCGCTTCTCAAAGAGGAAAAACAAAATGTTACTGTGGGAGTCTTAATACGCTTGTCTTTGTAGGTTTCTCTCTTCCCTGCTGAAGTCATACAGCATAGAGTTCATAGATCTTCTTTACACAGTACACCAGGGCAGCGAGTGCTATCGTGTTATGCAGTCTCTTTCTGTGCAGGTCGTCCTTCCTCACCAGCACCACCGGAGTGGAGGAGGTGAGCGTATGCAGGGGCAGGCGGGAAAGTTTATAGGCGTCGTACTCTACTTGGTACTTGCAACAGGGATCAAACTGCCAGGAGATACCATAAAGGGTGCAGCAGGCCATGCTCAGCACACCAGCAGGCAAGGAGATGTAGTGAGAATAATCTACTGGAAGTGCCAGCGGGGTGAAGAGGCAGGTAGTGCCCGCTAACACGGCCGTCTTGTGCAGGCAGTTCCCCACAGTGATCCAGCGGGCCGTCTCGTCCCCAATGCGAGTGGGCTCTATCACTATGTATTTGTACTGCGCTTCCAGGGCCTGCTCCAGCTCATACTCAAACTGGTCCTGAGCGTTCTCTCCGTTGTAGATCTCATGCACGATGTAGCAGTCCGTGGAGGACAAGGTGACCCTGGTAACGGGAAACACAGGATTAAAACTACGGAGCTAAAAGACGGATTTCTCACCCACCCGGCTGCAAGAGCTGGAGGAAAAAATGCCTGAAATCAGGGCAGCCCCTCAAGGTCACCCAGTCACTGCCCCTGCTCCACAACAAGCAGCTCGTTCAAATCAAGATCAGTTTCACTCAGCTAATTATGCTTTTTATACATGAAGTCATCCCAAACCGAGGCAATTTACTTTTCCTTACATCTTCCTAACTCAGAGGAACTAAGAACAGTTAGAG